GGATTTATGTCATGAAATCCAGGGATGAAGTACCAACAATTGTGCAAAAATTTCATGAACTTGTCCTCACCCAGCTTAACACTCGGATCAAAATATTTCGTTCTGATAATGCTAAGGTGTATTTTGAGAAAACCCTCTCCGCCTATCTTGAAACTTTTGGGGTTATTCATCAAAGTTCTTGTTCCTACACTCCACAACAAAATGGAGTGGCGGAAAGGAAGAACCAACATGTGGTTGAAGTTGCCAGATCCCTCCTGTTTGCATCCCATGTTCCTATAAAATTTTGGGGAGATGTTGTTCTTACTGCTACCTTTTTGATCAACCGTATGCCCTCCCGAGTTCTTAACTTCAAAACCCCCATTAGCCTTCTCTTCCCGGATGAGGATCTTTTTTCTAGTCCTCTCCATGTTTTTGGGTGCACTTGCTATGTGCATGTTCACATCCATCAAAGGCACAAATTTGAACCTAAGGCTCGTAAATGTGTTTTTTTGGGATATGCCTCCACACAGAAGGGATATTGCTGTTTTGATCCAGTTAGTGGCACCCACTTTGTATCTCGGGATGTCACATTTGCTGAGTCAATTCCTTTCTTTAGTATTTCTCCTAAGGGGGAGAAATCTGAAGAACCCTTTGCTATGTCTCCAGCTGTTCCTCTTCCCATTCCTCTTGAGTCCTCTCATGAGGTGTCCACTTCTCCCACTGGACCTACCTCCAATATTCCTGTTCCTCCTCCTCCACCTCATTCTCCTATAATTCCTCCTCATCCTGTTCTCTAAAGGTGGTACGAAAGGCACAGATTCAGACATGGGCAAGTTGTTTCCACCCCTACAGAAGAGCCTCTTGCTCCTCCCATCATTACTGAGGTAACAGGTCAGCCTTCCTCTGACCCATCTACATCTTTCCCAAACCTTGACATTCCTATTGCTCTCCACAAGGGCAAGCGGAAGTGTACAGCCCATTATATCTCCAAACACTTGTCTTATAGCCTTCTATCTCCTTCCCACTACTCTTTCCTTGCTTCTGTTTCTTCCTATGTGATACCCAGGTCCGTACCGGAAGCCTTATCTAAACCTGAATGGAGGGATGCTATGGTGGCTGAACTGGATGCTTTGCATAAGAACCATACCTGGGATATTGTCGATTTGCCTGAAGGGAAGGAACCAGTGGGTTGTAAATGGGTGTTTACCATTAAATATCACTCTAATGGATCTATTGAGAGGTTTAAGGCTAGGCTGGTTGTTAAAGGCTACACTCAGATGTCTGGTATTGATTATCTTGAGACAATTGCTCCTATAGCTAAGATGACCTCAGTCCGGGTTTTGTTATCTCTACCTGCTACTTTTGATTGGCCCCTACACCAGTTTGATGTTAAAAATGCCTTCTTGAATGGAGACCTACATGAAGAGGTCTATATGTCTTTGCCTCTAGGGGTGCATGGGAAGGAAATGCAAGGTAAGGTGTGTAAACTGCAGAAATCTATTTATGGTCTCAAATAGTCTCCTCGGGCTTGGTTTGAGAGGTTCAGRGCTGCTCTTGTCTCCTTTGGTTACACATAAACTCAATCTGATCATACTCTGTCATTGAAGAGAAATGGCTCTCTGGTGACCTTTTTGATAGTTTATGTTGATGATATTGTGGTCACGAGTAATGACACCCAAGAGGTCAGTAAAATCAAAAGAATTCTTAACTCTGAATTTGAGATCAAGGATTTGGGAGATCTTCGGTATTTTTTGGGCATTGAAGTTGCTAGATCTAAGGATGGTATCTTCATTTCTCAGCGTAAATATGTCCTTGACCTCCTTGCTGAGACTGGTAAACTTGGAGCTCAACCAATCTCCACTCCTATTGATCCCAATCATAAGCTTTCTGCTACAGATGGTGAACTTCTATCTAATAAGGGAGTGTTTCAGAGACTACTTGGGAAGTTGTTATATCTTTGCATGACTCGGTAGGACATTTCCTATGCAGTAAGTGTTATTAGTCAATTTATGCATTCTCCCAGAGATGCTCATTTAGTTGTTGCAGAAAGGGCTCTGTGTTACTTAAAAGGTACTCCAGGGAAAGGTATTCTATTTTCCAAACATGGACACATGAAGCTAGAAGCTTTCACTAATGCTGATTCGGCAGGATGTATTGATGATAGGAGATCCACCTCGGGTTATTGTGCTCTAGTCGTTGGGAACATTGTTTCATGGAGAAGTAAGAAACAGTCTGTAGTTGCTAGATCCTCAGCTGAAGTAAAATACAGGGCAATGGCACATGATGTGTCAAAATTACTATGGCTACGATCCCTTTTAGAAGAATTGGGGGTTAACTATGAGAAGCCAATGATGCTCTACTGTGACAACCAAGCAGCTATCAATATTGCACACAATCCTGTTCAACATGACAGAACTAAGCACATTGAGGTTGATAGACATTTTATAAGGGAAAGAGTTTCCTCAGGAGAAGTTTGTTTTCCATTCATCACATCAGAACTTGGCTGATATCTTGACCAAGGGAGTTCCGAGAGGGAAAATGACACACTATATAAGCAAGTTGGGCATGATTGACATCTATGCTCAGCTTGAGGGGGAGTGTAAAGAGACTGGTTCGAATGGGTCCTAGTATCTTCTCTTGTAATATTTTTTCTATTTTCCTGTTAGCTAATGGGCCTCTCTTAATGGGCCTGTTATTTCTTTTTGTTTGATCTCTTTATGTTATTGCCTAGCTGGCCGCCCACTTAAGGGCATACTTGTAATTATTTTAACATTAATTTTTAGTAAAAAGGATTAGAGAAGGGAGGGAAGGATTATTCGAACCTTTCTTTTTCTTCCTCCTCTTTTCTCCATCTTCTTCTCTTGTTTTGTTGCTCTTACTTTTCTTCCTCCTTTTTCTCTCTAATTTTTCAAGTTTACACCTATTTTTGAGGACTGATTTACATCTCTCCCAATGATATAAATTTGGTGAAAACCAATCCCTCCTATGTGCAGGCTCTTTGTTGGGAAAGTTTCCTCGAGAAGTTAAATACTTGTGATGTGCTACAGAAAAGAAGGCCAAATAATTGTCTCTCTCATGTGTCTCCTTTGCAAGGCCAGTGGTGAAACCCTTCCTCGTTTACTACTTTCCTATTTGTTTGTAACTTGTATTTGGGCTGCTGCTCTCTTTTTGGTTGCAGATGGGTACCCCCTCAAGATGTGGCTAGCCTATTTAACTCTAGTTTCTTAAGGAAACAGAAGAAAAGGGGAAGATCTCTATGGAAAATCACAAGAGCAGCCTTGGTATCATTTGGGAGGAGAGAAACACAAGAATCTTCCAAGAAAAGAATAGGTCAATGGAGAAACTGATTGAATCCATAAGGATCAGATCTGCACATTGGGCTAAAATTTTGGAATTGTTTAGAGATGTTTCCACAAATGACTTATTATGGAAATGGTCTGAAGTGGTACAAACAGATACACACAAAGAAGTAGTGTGATAATGGAATGGAAACCTCCAAGGCCAAACAAATTGAAATTAAATTTTGATGGGAGCTCCTTTGGTAATCCGGGGAGGGCAGGTATAGGGGGAGTTTTCAGAAACCATCTAGGTGCAGTTGTGGCCTTATTCTCTGGGCCAATTGGAATTGGCAACTCGGTTAAGGCCGAGACAATGGCTCTCTTACAAGGTGGACTAAAACTGGAAACACAGATGGGTGTTAGAGAGCTTGAAGTGGAAGGAGATTCTTTATTGGTTATTTCTTGGGCAAAACAAATTAGCTCAGCTCGTTGGAAATATAAATTTGCCTTAAGAGAAATTGACTACCTTGCAAAAAGTTGTAACACTAGCTTTGGATGGGTAAAAAGAACAGCAAATGGACTGGCAGGKATTCTCGCAAAACAGGGAGTGGACAGATCCACTCTATTTTGAGCAATGCTGTATCTTTAATAGTAAAAAGGGGCAGGGTAATCAGGGTGGCTAATCTGGTTTCTGCTGTATTTGGGCTACTGTGTAGCAAGGATCTGTAAACTTTTTTCAAGCATTAATAAATTACTCATTTTGTATATATATATATGGATGATGGTTTAGCTAAACAAGGGATTTATAGACAATCCATGTTTTGCTTATTTGTAATAATTGGGACGGTTTAATTCCTTGGGTATGTTGTTTCTTACCACAACTTGTTTATCTCTTTTCTAATTTAATGAATTAATTTTTATGTTGCTTCTAAAAAAAGGATATGAGCATGTTGTGGTTATTGCGTCTACAGCGCAGTCTCCATAGGGCCTAAATCCTGTACTTACCCCATAAAATAAAACTTTAGTCTACCAAAAACTTTTGAAACCAAAATATTTTTGTGCTTTCTCTGACTTTGGAATCTTCTTACAACAAGAGTATCCTTCCTGAACTCTATCATATCCTTGCATTCCTCATTAATCGTTCCCAACTCAACATAGTGTCTTCTCAAACAACTGACCTGCACCCAAATCTTCACGGTTTCCATTGACATCCCTACAAGTCCAGCTGATCCCTGGCCTTCATGACTGTCTTCAACCTTTGAATTTTGAAATATATCTTCAGAATCCGCATCAGACTTCCTTAAAGGCAATGGTCCTAGTGAAATCCTCTCCACCTATGAAATGCATCTCTGCACTGTTGCTGTAGATGGTCTCTGTACATGACCAAATGTGCTTCTGTGTTTGTGTATATTATATATGGCTGTATGCATGTATGTCTATATTATAAGTGGTGTGTGCCTGGTTGCTAACTTGCTACGTATCTAGTCATTTACTGATCTGAAGAACTAAAAAAAATAAAAATAAAAATAAAAACATCAACTCACCATCACAGGCCAAAATTCCTAGGTTTTGCTAAAGTTGCCAAACTGCCTTAACTATATACATGAGAGTGAGAACAGATCCTATTGACCTCCCAAAGAATTTTTTATTTATAAGTCCTTAAGAGCTAAAATTATATATTTGGAAACTTTATATGCTAAGAAATCAAGGCATAAACTCCAAAAAGTAGAAATCAATCTGTACCTCATTGAAATATCTGAGAAGAAGATTCTTAGTGATTCTTCCTATGCCAGAACCACAATCTGCAACAGTTATGCCCTCTATAAGAATTAAGAAACCCATTACATTCAATAGACAAAGTAAATATGTTAAAAAGGAAAATGATGTGACTACAGATGCTCTAATTTGAATATATTCTATCCAGTGTTGAATATCAAAATCTTTAATGGGTTGCTTTGAGTAGAGAACCTTGAAGTGGTATAGTGCATATTTTTACTTACATTAGAACAAATATGAACTCTTTAGCTCACAAAAAATAGCATAATTAGTACCCTAAAATAACATTGACCCATAAAACATCTTAAACAAAAGAACCATACTTCCAACAGGTGCATTTGCAATTTTCTATCTTTATCCAGGCTCACCTCATCAAAAATAAGAAAATAAAAGTATATATCAGTTTCCACCTGCACTAACCTTGCCAATATATCAATTTTTCTCTTTGAATGAACAATTAAGATTTCATTAAATAAAACAAAAGTGGAAACAACTAAAGATAAACCCACAGGCAAATAGGAACACCAAGCAGAAGAAACAAAACATTCAACAAAAAAAAAAAAAACAGAACAATATCCCAATAGGAGTAGCCACTAAAAACAAGTAAACAACTAAAACTCTATGCACAATATAAACCCAAAATAATTAGCATCCCAATACTTCCTTCAATCTTATCCCTAGTTCCAAGAAAAAGTCTTCCTTGGAATCCACCTGAACAAGAACTTCACTCTAGATGCCAAAGATCGAGCTGTCTTAATATGGTAATAAAAGACTTATGCACCATCTCCTACTCTACACATCTAGCCAATCACCATCTAAAGGTCTCCTTTACCTCCACAAGATTAAAACACATTGAATACATCAATATCATCTCTAATAGAATTCCCATGTTCAATGGGACCCCAACGCACCAGAATTATCCCATCATCATGCCTCCTAAAGGCACCCTCAAACTGATTGCCCTGGATTATGAATCAAGCATCCATCAAAATTTAGTAAACACCGGCATGAAAGATTTGTTCGAATATATAAAAGGTCATATACTCATATGCATGACTTAATAAAAGCTTTATAATGAGGACACCAACCTATAGAACACAGACATATGGAGTTTGACATGGCAACTTCAAGAAACCTGAAACATATTATTTATACAATATATTGTCTATCATGAAATGTTTCCAAATAACAACTATTAAGGGATGGGATATTGAAAGGATGATATGGATCCTGATTTGTCTTTTTGCATTCTCATATTAGGGCATTCTCCAAAAACAACATGCTGAATGAAAGGCTAGAAATGGAAAGCCCGGATTGGCAAAGGCTGGGTGAAGAAAAGATTATGTGGTTGAAAGGAACATTGAGGACGAAGAGATTAGACAGGTGGTTTTCTTAATATAGATCTAAAGCTCCAGACCCAGATTGTTGGGAGGTGCGAAAAGATGATTTCTGTGATGTCTTTAAGGAATTTGGAGATAAGCACATAGTTAGCCGCGACATCAATGCTACGTTCTTGGATCTAATCCCAAAGAAGTCTGATGTTAAGTATTTATAAAATCCAAGCCAAAGTTCTTTCTTTGAGGATTAAATAAGTCCTCCCCTCTATCATTAGTCAGGCCCAAGGGACCTTCATTCAAGGACAACAAATAACTGATCAGATCTTGATTACCAATGAACGAGTGAAGGAGATGAAGAGATCTAGGCAAAGAGGTCCTGTTTGTAAGCTAGATCTTGAGAAGGCATATGATTCGGTGCATTGGCAGTTTTTAAAATAGGTTTTGAAGAAGTGTGGGTTTGGGCAAAGGTGGTGTAGTTGGATGTTTGGTTGGGTTAGTACTTGTCATTATTCCATCCTAGTTAATGGGGTGGTAAGGGATTTTTTTCCAACTTGTAGGGATATTATTCAAGGGGATCCACTTTCACTTTTCCTTTTTACCCTAGTAGCTGATGTGCTCAGTCAAATCATCACTATGGCTGATAGGGAAGATGTTATAAGGAGATGGAGAACAGACAGAAACCAAGTTCTAGTCAGTCATCTCCAATTTGCAAATGATTTAATGATTTTGTGATGGATGTTGTAATGAGAAAGTAGGAAACCTAAAGGAATTGGTTCTTGGCTTTGAAGGAATTTCCAATTTAAAAATCAATCTAGAAAAGATCCACATAGTGGGATTGAGGAGGTTGAGGCTGTTGCAGATTGTCTTGAGTGTTCTATCTCCTCTTGGCCTTTCTCTTATTTAGGGATTTTATTAGGCTGTGTTTGGTTTAAAGGAAAGAGTAGGGAAAGGAAAGGAAAGGAAAGGTAGGGAAACCTTAACAAACCTTGTATAGGCTTCCCTGTCTTTCCCTTCCTTTCCCTACCTTTTCCTTCAAACCAAACATAGCCTTAGGGGAAAATCCTAGGGAAAATAGGTTTTGGGAATCTAAACATATAGAAGTTTGAAAAGAGATTAGCCTTGTGGAAGAGGACTTATATCTCTCTAGGTGGTAGGATCACTTTAATGCTACCTTGGCGAACCTACCTACTTACTACCTTTCTGTCTTTAGGATACCGCCTAGGGAAGCGAAGAAGTTGGAGAAAATGATGAGAGACTTTCTCTGGGAACCAGGAGAAGGTAAAAAAGATCATTTAATCAGATGGGAGGTTGTGGTAAGAATTAAAGAGGAAGGGGGATTATGTCTAGGAAATGTGGTTAAAAAGAATTTGGCATTGTTGGGGAAGTGGTTGTAGTGGTGGCCCTTGGAGCGAGAGAGGCTTTGGCATGAAGTGGTGAAGAGTATTCATGGATGTTCAGAGAATGGGTGGGGTGTTGGTAAATCACAAAGGCTAACTTGGCAATACCTTGGAAGGCAATTCATAGACTTCTTCCGTAGTTTCTCAGTTGTGTCAGGTATGATGTTTGTTCTGGAAATTCTGTTTGGTTCTAGGACACTTGGGTTGAAGATCTTCCTATAAAAGACCACTTTCCGTCCTTGTTCTCTGTATTTTGTATAAAAAAGAGGTGACCGTGATCTCAAAATTTCTTCCTTCTATGTTAAACCTTTCAGCTTTGACTGGGATTTTAGTTTTTGTAGAGGGTTAAGGAATGAGGAAGTTGAGTTTCCATCTAATCTACTCAGCCTCCTTGATAAGGTTTGGTTAGACCCTTTGAAGCCAGATAAGAGGATTTGGGACCCTCAAGCAAAAGGGATTTTTATCTTATGTTTCCTTTTTCAAGCTCCTTTGCTATACCTCCCTTTAATAGGTTTTTCCCTTCAAGTAAGTCTAGTATAGGCTAGTTTCCCCTAAGATTATGACCTTTTGTTGGGAAGTGTTCCATGGGAAAGTAAACACCTTGGATAACCTACAATAGAGAAGACCCTTATTCTGTATTTCTCCCAACTGGTGTACTCTTTGCAGATCTCATTGTAAGGACTATTACCATTTATTCATATCCTATATTTTTTTTTATAAGTAAAAGACATTTTATTAAAGAAAACAAAACTGGATACATCTGAAACAGGTGTTAAGATAACACTACACAAGCCCCCCTACAAGACCTCCAACCATACTAAGACAACAACTCCAAAAGACAAGTTCAAAAGAAAATAAAAGGCATTGATATATCATATGCTAAATGTGGTAGTGGATCACAACCTTCTCTCCAAAGTCCAAACCATTCGTAGAATCCCTCCTCGTCCCAAGTCCTAACTTTCTCCTTCAAGAGCATTTTGTTACGATCCATTTGTCCCATGTTGGTAGTATGGGATGCTAATGTGAGGTATCCCACATCAGTAGTATGGGATGCTGTTGTGGGGTATATATGCGCTTAGGTTCCCTCCCTCTAACAGCTAGCTTTTAGGGGTGAGTTCTCCTAAGGCTTAGTTTGGAAGGAGTACAAATGCAAATATGTAGAGTGCAAAACCTTATATTTTGTATTATTTTGTATGTATTTGCACTGTACATATTTGCATTTGTACTCTTTCCAAACTGAGCCTAAGGCACATAACACATTTGCAACTCTCCTCAAACTTTCTTCTTTCCTCTTCCTTTCAAAGGCTCCAAAGGCTTTCTTAACAAGACTTTCTCCTCCCAAGAAGAATAAACCTAGGGACTTTCCAACTTCTACTTCTCTATCAACTAAACTCTTCAAATCCACGCTTCTTCTCTTTTCCTTTTTCTCCATCACCAGGCACGGCAAGACCGAGTGGGCTGTGCTGCCAGCACACAGCATGACCTGGCTTGCAAGCCTGTAGCAGGCCAAGCGCAGCCCGCCCAAGGAAACAACTATAAACTGTTCTTTAGGGGGTATTTATGTATTTTGGCTTTGAAGGGTAGAAAAATGACAATAATGCCTCTGAACAACTATATAACAGCTAGTTTGGGGGGCATTTGGGTAAAGTGATAAATGGCTTTGTAATGACCAAAATACCCCTCCCAATAACTAAAAATGACTAGTTTTTCAGGGTATTTTGTGCAATTGATTTATTTTCAATTCCTATAAATACCCATATCCTCCACCATTCGCATCACACCAATTCTCATACTCTTTTATACACACTATCATACTCCATTCTATAATTCTCAACTTTATTCAAGTTTCAACAAGAAAAAGGCTTTCTCAAGTATCTCAAGTTAGCAATTTGGGAGGCTTGAAGGCTTCAACCGTTGAAATCAAATTGAGATTTCGAACCGACAATCCCGATAAGTTGCAATTAAATTAATTTTTATTTTTTTAATGTCCAGTCACAGTATGAGAGTATCAACACTGATATGGATGCTACTGATGTTGTCAAAGTTCCCACCCTTAGTACTACTAGGGGAAAGAAAAAGAAGGGCAATAAGTTGACTAGCCCAGTCTGGAAATTACAATGGCCTGTGCGTACAAATTAGCCAATAGCTACCCATCAAAAATAAATAAATAAATAAAACACTTACATATTAGTTACACTAGTTCTGAAGGTGTAATCTTGGAATGGACCCATATACATAACATGAATCCGCAATTCCGCACATGTATTTTGCTTGATTATGAAATCATATGCAGTATACTGATTCCATGAGACTGGTTCATGTTACGGTCATAAGGGTTAAACAGGTATGTTTGACGCGTCTCCACAGTCTTAGTGCTACAACTAAAGCACCCTAAATTGAGAGCTCCCTGAACCAAAGGACGTTAAACAGCTTGGCTTCACGCATTCCAACAGCCTTATGGCTTTTGGCATATGGGTCAAGTACGTAACCGTATAACTTCCTTATCCTGTTGGAACAAGTGGTGCAAACCCACCACTAAACTTATTCCAAACCAGTGACCGTAAAAAGGCGACTCAACAAATGACAAACCCTTTTCTAAACCAAAATTCAGAATGCAGGAAACTGAAACCCCAAGAGGAACGAGAGAGAGAGATTCAGAATGCAGGAAACTGAAACCCCAAGAGGAACGAGAGAGAGAGAGTGTGTGTGTGTGTGCATTTTTTTGTACCGAGAGCGACGAGATGGCGATTTCTTAAGCCAGAACCAAAGCGGTCGACCAAAAGATTCTTTAGAAAAGCTTCGCTACCCTTCACGTCTGCCTCATCAACATGCCCGTATCCACCCAATACTCCATCAACAGACGCTTCAACACCCTGAAACAGCAATAACCCATACAACATAAATAAATAACTGAAATATGAGCATCGAGGGTTTAGGGTTTTAGGCGTCAGCAAGCTTACTTCCCAGTAACCGACGCCTTTCCGATACCATTCAGTCTTCTTTTGATCGTCTCCTTCTCCGACCTCTTCTCTCCACATCTCTTCAGCATTCTTGAATTCCCGGCCATCGGTATCCGACCCACCAGCCTCCATGACGGAAAACGGAACAGAGAAGGGTGTGAAGGATCAGCAATGATATCAATGTTAATTTTCCGGTTACAATGACGTTTATGCCCCTGAAATTGAATGCTTCGGCGTCCACATTCTTGGGCCCACGAGGTCGGGATTGAACCGCTTAAACGTATAGTTTATTCCCTTCACATTTGTTTTTTCTTCTCACTGTTGTTGGTAATGAATGGCGGTTGGTCTTCAAAGCCTCCGTTTTTGCAAGTTTTATGCGCTCGTTTCGGTGTGACGATGGAAAGCAAGGTGACCCTATTCTCCAAGTTGTTGCAAACTTGCATAGACAAGAAAGTCCACTTAGCGGGTAAAGTTATTCATGCTCAGGTAATCGTTAATGGTTTATTCTCGGACATTTTTTTATCCAACAGGCTAATTGAGTTTTATGCGAAGTGTGGTAAGTTAGATTTCGCGCGTCACGTGTTTGAAAAAATGCCTGGAAAGAATATTTATTCATGGAACGCTATTGTTAGTTCGTTTTGCAAAGCTGGTGAATTACAAGAAGCAGAACATTTGTTCCTTGAAATGCCCGAGAGGAATACTGTCTCGTGGAATACAATTATCAGTACATTAGTCAGGAATAAGCTGGAAGAAAAGGCATTGCATTTATATTATATGATGAATAAAGAAGGATTCAGGCCTACCCAGTTTACTTTTGCGAGTGTTCTCAGTGCCTGCGGTGGCTTGATGGAATTAGAACATGGCATGAGCTGTCATGCCCTTTCTATTAAAGTTGGTCTAGATAGTAACATGTATGTGGAAAATGCTTTGGTAGGTATGTATGCAAAGTGTGGGATTATGGAGGATGCAATTGAAGCATTTGGTGAAATGTCTCAACCAAATGAAGTTGCATTCACAGCAATTATGGGTGGATTGTTGCAAGCAAACCGCATTGAAGAGGCTCTGAGAATGTTCACAAAGATGCATCAAATTGGAATTCAAATCGACTCTGTCTCCATATCAAGTATTCTCAGTGTTTGTGCCAGAGGAGGGAGTGGAGAACCAAATGGTCCTAGTCCAAGATATGGGATTCAGTGTAACATCCATGGCCTACAAGTACATGGCTTCATAATTAAATTCGGTTTTGAAATGGATCTTCATGTGAATAATTCATTACTTGACATGTATGCAAAGAGTGGGAGTATGGATGTTGCTGAGATAATTTTTGCAAATATGCCTGATGTTAATGTTGTTTCTTGGAATATTTTGATAGCTGGTTATGGTCAGCAGGGCACAAGTGAAAGAGCCATAGATTTGCTGCAAATGATGCAACAGCATGGTTTTGAACCAGATGAAGTCACATATTTGAGTATGCTAGGAGCCTGCGTCAAGTCTGGGGATATGGAAACTGGCATTCAGATGTTTGACCAGATTGCATGCCCAAGCGTAAGTTCATGGAATGCCCTATTGTCTGGGTACTCCCAAATTGGGAATCACACGGAAGCAGTAGAATTCTTCAAGAAGATGCAGTTTGTGAATGTCCATCCTGATCATACTACTTTGGCTGTTATTCTCAACTCATGTGCAGGAATTGGTTTTTTAAATGGTGGAAAACAGGTCCATGCAGTGTCAATAAAGTCTGTTCTTGATGCTGACATGTTTGTTGCCAGTGCACTAATTGACATGTACTCTAAGTGTGGAAACATTGACATGGCTAGGCACGTTTTTGACAGGATGCATGAGAGAGATGACGTCTGTTGGAATTCAATGATTGCAGGTTTTGCACTCCATTCTCTAAATCGGGAAGCTTGTATCTTATTTAAAGAAATGCAAGAGAATGGTGTGAGCCCTACTCAATTCTCTTATGCTACTATTCTGAGTTCATGTGCTAGACTAGCTTCTTTGTCTCATGGGAGACAATTACATGCTCAGATAATAAAAGATGGATATATAAATGATGTTTTTGTTGGGAGTGCTCTGATTGATATGTATTCAAGATGTGGCGATGTAAGTTTGGCTCGCCAGTTTTTTGATGAGATGCCCAATAAGAATATCGTTTCTTGGAATGAGATGATACATGGGTATGCACAAAATGGATGTGGGAATGAGGCTGTTGACCTCTTTGACAATATGATCCAATCAGGTGGAAAACCTGATGGCATAACTTTCATTTCTGTTCTTACTGCTTGCAGCCATACTGATTTGGCTGATGTAGCCCTCAGGATCTTCAATTCCATGGAGCAAGAACATGGGGTAAAACCATTGGCAGACCATTACACATGCATTATAGACTCTCTTGGTCGAGCTGGTCGGTTCAATGAAGCAGAAATTCTTATAAATAAGATGCCTTATATAGATGATCCAATTGTCTGGGAAGTTTTGCTTAGTTCATGCAGAGTTCATGCTAATATCAACCTTGGGAAACTAGCAGCAGAGCAGCTATTCCGCATTGACCCACAGAATCCAGCCCCCTATGTGCTTCTGTCCAACATTTATGCATCTTTAGGAAGATGGGATGATGCATCAGCTGTACGGGAAAAGATGAGTGGTCAACAGGTCTCAAAGTATCCAGGCTATAGTTGGATTGAATTTAAGAATGGGGTGCAAGCCTTTATGGCTGATGATGATCTTAGGATGGTAGGTGTAGGTAAAGAAGTAAATCAGGGAAACATCCTTTCTTTTAGAGGTGGTGCTAAATGTTTCAGGAGGCGATTGATCAAGAGGGTATCTACTTAATCAAGAAAGGGAAGAGAGGATCGGAAAGCATGAAGATAAGATGAGGGAGATAGCTAGGTATGCGATTAAGAAGAACCGGCATGCAGAGGCAAAGAGTATTAGGCTCAAAAAAGAAGTAAAGAAAGGAGAGGTCAAAGAAGAATATCTCAAAGAGAAAAGCTCCAAGAGGCACATAACAAGCAGCAAGATACAAGGAGAACCCTTATAGAGACCAGAGTTCAAAACACCGCCCTAGAAAGGTAGTTGCAATAGGTTCAAGCACGCCACATAGGTTCACGAAGAATATGAGGGATACAAGGAGCACATTCCCACGTATGCAACAACAACTGCCTTCCTAGTGAACATGGATTAGTGGGTTGCTCAACTAGAGGCCCTACTTAGGGTGGCTGGAGTGGAGCTTCCACTTCCTCTCCCTCTAGCTTTGATATTTGTTCTAAGTTTAAGCCTATATTGTATCATGATCATTTCCTTTTTTGAACATGAAATTAATTTTTATTATTGGTATAGATTTTTATTTTGGATAGGATATAACATGATCATTGTACAAGTAACTTTCAGATATAATGAGAACTATTCCCCTTTTGTGTAATGTTTCGATGTTCTCTCTCTCTCTCTCTCTCTCTCTCTCTCTATGACAACTAAAAATTTGATATACATGGTTAAAATATTAAAACACGGTGCCATAAGGTCTTAAAAATTTGATATACATGGCATACAAACATTAAAGAGATGATATCATCATGTCAAAAGACTAACATAAGGTCTTAGATATTAGGCTTTTAGTTTTAGCACTTGGGCTTGTGCCCCCCCCACCCCCCCTGTTGCAAAAAAAAAAAAAAGGAAAAGGTCTTAGCATGCCTTTAACCTGAACAAGTTGCCCAACTTTGATGGTAAAGTCTTTAACTTATCCATAAAGGGAGAGCATCCTTCTAATGTTTGTATTCATCCAACCAACAACTAAATTTCCATTAAATAATACAACAAAGAGATGTTAAATAAGAACTAAGAAATTTTAAACAAAAAAATGCGAACAAATATTTATATACAAAATAATAATGTAAAATAAAATCAACATAAATTAGATAAACATAAAAAAAATATAGGTTTTGTTTGTATAAGTGTTTCATTTTGAGCTTTGGGCTGTGAAAAACAAAGTTGATCCAAACATGTTTGAGCATTTCATAAGAATTACTTCTGAAAACATCACATTCTAAAGCCAAAACACTTATAAGTCCCAAAGCACAAAGCCTAAAATTAATGCTTTTTGGGGGCTTTGAAAGAAAACTTCGTAAAGATATATATCAATGTTGGAGAGAGAGAGAGAGAGAGAGAGGATTAAAAGGGAAAATTAGAAAAAGTAACAAGAAATAATTACATTGAAATAGCTAAGGGTAAAGCTTCACCGAGCAATGTAGCTTGCAGGCAACCAATGTTATCTCCCGAAGCATTGCTCAAACTTGCCCATCTTTGCAAATGTTTCTCATTTATCCTTTCGAAAGGTCTCCAAGAAGATTTATATGGAATTTCTTCCAGCCACATAAGAGTAGGTTTGAATTCTTTAGTGATCGGTCCATTAGACATTCCTATTTCTACAGTCTTTATGAAAAATAAATAAATAAACATGCTACATTTTTCATTCATAGTTCCTGCCCTTACATCTTGATGACACTCGAGAGCATTTATGAAATTTGGTGAAAGATGCTCCCTTGGTTGTAGGCACAGTTGGAAGAACAAAGACATATCTTTTCAGTTTGGGTGGTGACTCATCCTAGATAACAAGTGTTCAATTCATAGAATAAATAATGTTTATAAAAGCAAATTAATGTGACTAAAAAATCAAAGTCCCAACAATCACCACATATCAAATGTATATTCAAATAAATAAAAGGAAAAAAAAGAAAGACACCAAAAAGGAAAAATTACTTGGGTAGGTTTCCTAAGTAAAGCCAAATTACAGTTTGCCTTTCTACCACCAATAAAATTGGGCTTGGATCAGCATAGACCCTCCTTGTAGATTATGGATCATGGAAGGTTACCTAAATCCCCCATACAAATAAACACAAAAGAAAACAAAACTCATCTTCTAAGTCAATATATAAAAGAAAATCACTGAAATATAAATAAGAAATAAGCTACACGTTTAGTTTTATGTACGAATTTTATTTAATTTCTTGCTTAAGTATCAAAATTACACTCACAAATCCTTTTTCCACCAAACTTCTAGTTACCTAAGGCCAAAAAATGTGGACATTTGATTACATCTACACCTTGGAAGTTTATGCATTTTTATCTTTTTGTGATATCAAGTAGAGAGGAAAAAAAGAGGGAATAAGTAAAACAAAATTCTCATTTTTATAGTTACAGCAAGATTATCAATTAGCACGAGACTAACAATCCAAAACAAGAAATATCACAAAGAAGTATCCTTTCGAACGGTCTATATTCTTGCTAGTGAACATGATTAACTTGAGAAACTCTTCGAACTGCTAAAAGTAACAATGTGTAGTCTTGTTTTGCTTCTACAATTCCAATTTTCCGAAAAAGACCTTGGTGTAAGTGGTATCTCCTAAAAAGGAAATCAAGAACTGAAACCTAAAATTCTAACTTGATCTTGATCCTGAACTAGAACTTGGAATCGTTGTATAAACAAGAATTCCAATAAAAGATGATGAGAGTAGAATTTATCATTTTTTTTATGTCTTTCATACCTAATTAGTACTTAATTGGACTCATATGTCTTGTATTTCGGTTCAGGACATGAAAAGAAGGAATCAAGAGCAAAGAAAGGCAATTCGGATGATTTTTCACAGTTTCGGCACCGTTCAGTAATTTGGGCTTAACTCGTGTATCCGAATTCCAATGGGGCTGATTCAAGACCCACTAGAAAGATAAAAGAAAAAGCCACAACTTTCGTGTTTTAGGCTTTCGCAGATTCGGCCTACATCGAAGTCAAATCTGGGCCCAAAGTCGGGGCAAATTCGTAGGAAAGCCCAATCCGCAGCTGAAGCCCAATTCGCAGAGGATGTCTAATACGAATCCAATAACAAGAAACTGAGAAGAGTCTTACCAGATCTAAATTTATGATGTAATCCCATAAAGATAAAGAGATAAGAATAGGATTAGACTAAGACTTTCTAATCTTAAAAGATTAACTTCAAGAGAGAGTAGGAAACCACCCCCTCCCCTTTTGGCTATATAAAGAAGTAGGGGGCGGACTAGAGGGATCATCAATCAACAATTGGAGGAATTCCTGAAGTCCCTCTGAAGTGAATCAAGAAGGTCTTCAAGAACTTCAAGAAGGAGATCAAGAAAGCTTCAAGAAGGAGGTGGCGGCAAGAAAAAGAGGAGATCTCAGCACCCCGGGCGAATTCATGAGTTCTTTCTTTCATCTTGTTTGCTTTATTTCCTTTATTATGAATTAATTTGTTTTTAGCTAGGGCTGTGGAAAGCCGAACCATGATAATGAATATATTTTTATTATTATGATTTATCCAAGATTGTGATTTCCATATAGTCTATGAATTATTTGCTTAATGCGATTAGGAGTGGTCATCTCTTAATTGATTCGGTGTATATGAATGAATCGGGAAAGGAATTTATATACTCGACCACATAGTTCATGGTGTGAATTGAATGGTATATAGGGATATATACACATTATTCATTTGAATATATGAGTTTTTCTTGCACTTTATGCATTTCTATTATTGAGAACTCTAGTCGAGGGATCGAGGGGTTACTTGATAGAAATAGGTTTAGTATATCTTGGGAAAAAATATTAAATAAAATTGGGAAAAACTTCAGCTTATGGGAATAACAATTAATCTTGGTTAATCATATTCATCAATATTTCATTAGATTGGTTGGGCGGACCTAAAGCCCTAGCGATTTCATCCTTTGCATATTCGGTTGTTGATTGTCCTTGCTTTTATCTTCTTTTCCTAGTTTTATTTTCAGTAGTTCTTGCTCCCTCAAATCTGAATTTCGAATGTCCAAATAATTAGGGAAGACTAGGGTTTTAATACTTATTTTGTTAAATCCCCGTGGTAATGATATTTTTATACTACTTGATAACTAGTGCACTTGCTAGGGTTATAATCATAGCTATCAAAAAACTTAATTCAAATTTCAAAAATCCCAGAAAGCATATTCTCAAGTTAACTTAATTCACTTAGATCAAGAAATAGGACAGTGCATCCATTAACAATTTACTACAAAGTGATAAACCCTAGAAATCTCTAGATTCTTAATTAGGAATGGCAATGGGGCAGTGATCATATTCTCCATTCTCGACCCCAATTCTTAAATAAATCCTTGTCCCCAACCCCAATCCCCATCGGGATAAAAATTGTCCTCCATCCCCAATCCCCGATGGGACAGGTTCTCCGCGGGTACCAGAAACCCCAAAATTTTTAGTTAGCAATGTTTTTTTGAAAAATAAATGTAAGTACATGCATTTCAATGGGACTATGGTGGGGATGTTAAAAGAAAATGAAGAAATCACAACCAGGATACCTCTAAAATGACACAATGACACTTTATCAAAGTAATGTAGGGCCCACACACTTGCGAGGAGCACAAAAAGAAATCCTACACTCACGATGAGCATGAAGTTCCATCTAAGACCTACGATGAACATAAAACACCTCTCTGAACCTACGATAAGCAATCAACGTCACCTGAGACTTGCGATGAACATAAAAGGATATCGCAAGAGCCCGATGCACTATCAGCACCTTGCAATGAGAACTAAATGGCAACTCCTGCTATAAGGAATGGATGATATACCCCGAGGCCGGTGTCACCCACCTATGGGAGGTTAGCATTCCTTCTATTCACAACCAACTGTGACGAAGTGCCTCGGAGGCGATTGAGAAAAACACCTAAGCACACCAATCAAATCCATGTCTTGTCCTTGACACGTGTACACAGGGGGAAACCCGTAAGGGAACGTAGCCTACATACGCCATGCAAAAATGCTTAGGAGAAGGGAAATTCTGTCCTTAAGGGATTTCGTTGGACACGTTGTGAAATCCCAGTAGTGCTCCATTAATAGTCGACATAAAGATAAAGATCACATTTCCTAATAGAAAATGTATCCTTTTAGATCCTTCTCCTTAGATCCTTGGGGTCCTCTCTATAAAAAAGGGGAATAACTCTCCCCCACGTCAGAAAACCATATAACTTTAACCCTAGAGTTTCTTAGGGGACCTCTCTGTCTTATCATCCCTTCTCCCACCGACCTCTACAACCAATATTCCTCCCTGCATTCACTCTTTCCTGCCATCTTCTCTGGACCTTTGGAGACTTGACCAATCTCCGTTGCCTTACCACCGCAACTACAATAAAATCTCTAGTTCCGACTCTGATCTCTAGGGGAACGGTAGTTGGCAACCACTATAGGGAAAACAATGAATTCGTGCACGAGGATGAAGACAATTGTAATGGCTATAAGTGAAAAACAATGCTCGAAGAGGAAAAACCCTTTTGGTCTCCTTTTCTATGTTTTTTTTTTCTTTTATTTAATGCTTATTTATTTTGTAGTCGTTGACCTTTTGGCCTTCTAAATCTATGCTTTTGTGATTGAACCCTAGATTTAACATTAATTTGTATGGTATTATTTTAATTGGTGTGTCGCTATTTATCAATTCATCATTGGTCGCATCTGATCTCTAGAGGGGCTAGTGTTGAGCGAAGATCCAAGAAATTGCCACAACTGATGACTGGACTGTGAAAGTGTATAAGATTGGATCAAGACCCATTGAAAGCTTGAGAAAATATCTTCGGGACTACTACGACCGACACTTAGAGATCCGCAATTGAAAACTGAGCCAAAGAAGACTTGGGAAATAAAACATTGATGCAGAGATCATTCTTGGAAACCGATGTACAATACCAATCAGATATGCAAACTTTATTTTCTTCCTTCTTATTCTTTCCTTTCTCTTTTACCTTTTAGTTTATGACACTATGCTATGATTAAGACTCTCACCATTGCATAACAGTTGAAGTAGGTGGAAAAGGGTAACTCTCTACTTTTAATTTAATCTATTTTCGCTTTAGTTGAATTAATGAGCTCCTTAGATTATAAGTACTTCTATACTCAAAGTTCTAGTCTAATTTCTTCCCTAAATGCCTGATATCTATGGTCTTATTTGTATTGTTTCTTGTTCTTTCTGTTTTCTGTTTGTGAACTATGCTTTTAAATTTTCTCCATCAAAGAGATGGTAAGTGATACAACAATGTTAAAAGGTGGCATCTGACAGCCAGCTCATAGCTCTATGTGCGGATCACTCTAGAATTCATTGCCTAGTGACTTTTGGAAGATGGAACATAGGGCTTGTTTCACATGAACTTTCTAGAACATGTAATGAGTTTGTCATTTCAGTGTTATCCCTAGTGGAGTTACAACTCTTCCACAGCTTGATGGCTTGCATAAATCAGTGAATGTGTGTAGTGATCTCTTTTGCTTTAAATTTCTAGCATGCTTGAATAAGTGACTATGCAGTCTGTCCTATGCTTTGAATTTCCATTTGGAACTAATTTGATAAGATCTTGTCCAACCTGATGAACCAAGTAATTTAGAGTCCTACGGTCCTATGCTTTGAATTTCCGTTTGGCACTAATTTAATAAGATCCTGTCTAACCTAATGGACCACGTAATTGAGAGTCCTAAGGTCCTATGCTTTGAAGTTCCGTTTGGCACTAATTTGATAAGATCTTGTTTGGCCTGATGGACCAAGTAATTTAGAATCCTACTCTTGAATAATTTGCTTATGACCAATGTGATAGCATCACAATGGCACCAAGCCACTGCTTCCTACGACAGACCTCAAGAGAAACATCTTTCGCTTGATCACCCTCCAAGGTCGCCATGCTGATAGACAAAAGCGATGATTGTCAAGGAGTGATGCTCAACTGAAAGCGTTCATAGAGAAACATAAATAAAAAGGGAGTAATAATATACGAGGAACGACACTTGCAGCTTGGGTCCATAATCTGATGCACAGTGTCATCCATCTGATTAAAAAGGTAGCCAAGAAACATTGATGCTAATGACAATTGATGATTTCCGGTTGCCATAACAGAGAGAGGAACCAAAATTGTGCGAAGGCCATAGTCTGAATTGTCGGGAAATAAGAACTGCGACATGACATAAAGAATAAAAGCTACAAGATGACACTAGTTGTCGCCCTTTTGAACCATAATGTCTATTGAACTCTTACCCTTGAACCAATAAGAAATCCAAACATACAAAGGTCACTTTCTACGAGTAGTAGACTTGTCAACCTGTGCTTTGGAAACTCGGATCTCCTCTGCCAATTCTATGTAAAGCTCAAAAAGGCTATTGGGGATAGACTCTACGTATTGAAGTTACTGGGCAGAAACAGCTCCTCCTGGCGGAAGTGCAAGCAGAACGGCGACATCCTTCACGGCGATGCCAAATTTATCGAAGGCACCAACAAATGTATACGTCTAGCAGCACCAATGAGTGAGAAGAGGTATCATGTAACTGACCCCATTTTGTCAGGCAGTTCCAAAAAGCAATCAACAAACCGAAGCAATCTAGCACTATGGAGCAACCAACAATACATAGGGTTCTCTAGCATATAATGTGCCCATGCCGAATAGTTCACCAATGACCTTGAATCGTCCATCTTTGGCTCATAACATCTAAAGGACACAATGCACTGGACATGACCATACAAAGGACAGTAGTTCCCTCGGCTCCACAACATCATATTTACCACCTTCCCCTCGGGAAACTAGCATAGGAGACCAGAAACCCCTTGCACCACCAGCCATTCTCGTAGATTCATACTCCAACAACAACTCGATTGTGTCAACATTCCTCACAAAATCCACAAAGGGCACTCAAACTTGATAGTCTTCTTCTATGCACGAGGAGCCATTACTGACAAAACAAAGGTATCAAAGAAAACAAAGGAGAAGAGGAAACGGAAAGAGAAAACGAATGGACACAAAAATGCTAACAGAATCAGAGCAAGAAACCAAAGGAAAGCCTAAGAAACAATCGAACAGGGTCCTCTTAGAGAAGCTTCGCACAGGCCTGACAGTTCAAACAACGCCATGGTTGACTGAATGGAATGATTATCAGTCACCTGCCATCGCTTAACTGAAAAACTCAAACTATCTGAAGGAAGGGGAAATCCATTATATGGATGGCTGAACCATGCTAAATGGTTGGGCGAAATTTAAAAAAAAAAAATTTCTCCCTTCCGGGAATCGCATTCATAGTTTTAGAAAAGCTACATTTTTCAATGATCGTTCTTGAACCAATCCGGACCAAATCTAAAACCAAAAGAAAGGGAGAAGAATACTTGATATGGAATCCACACGTGTAGTTCCCAAAGTAGGTGTTCATGCCCAAATAGGGTACCAAAACCTGCTTCCACGGAAGATGGCACAGCTTAAGATGAAGCAAGTTCAGCAAGGCAGTCCTTTAGCAAGAACTGCAATCTAACAGCTTGGATCGAGCAAGGGAGATGAGCACGGAATCTTATATGATTTTCTTGCAAAATCAGAGGCAGGAACTTATCTCTATCAATCCAAAAGGTGGAGAATGAATTGGGTATGTATGGCGACAAGAGCAGAAGGAGAGAGAGAGAGAACTGAGAGCAGTAATTTGTGTAAATTGGAGCAGTTTGCCCTCTCCTATTTATAGATCTTAAAGAGCAACTCTCATAATCTAATTAGGAGTTTCCTAATCCAAATCTTTATTTGGATCTAGATTCTTTAAGCGAATAAGACTTATCCTCTTATCCTTATCTATTGATCCAAACCTATATCCATACCCAAATTCGCCCATGTCACATGACTACTTAATCTGTCATGTGACACCCTGATTAATCCAATTAATCTTTGGGCTATAGACTATAGTTATTGGGGGCATTTATGTAGCACCCCCTTGCTATATATTCTTGGTCGGACGGTGCAACCTATAACGGGCTAACTTCATGTCACTCCGTGTCAGTAGGCCATGCCAGCACGACCCATTTTGTGTGTTGTGTTATGCCAACCTATGGGCCCACTTTGTAGCTCGTTCAAGCAAATGCAATTTTAGGAACTACTTTCAGCAATCTAAATATATATATATATATATTAAAGGAAGGTCTTTAGGCTACAGCCCCCCACCGTTCAGACATGTGGCATTTTCATTTTTCTGGAAATATAGACACATGGCATTTTCTACCACCATTCAGACAAGTGGCATTCTCATTTTCTGGAAAGCTAGACACGTAGCAGTTTCTGAGAAGTTCCTGCTAAAACCTACAACCCACTACCAGGTTACAGCCCCCACCATTCAAACATGTGGCTTTCTCATTTTTTTGAAAATCTAGACATGTAGCATTTTCTGAGAAATTGCTGGTAAAGCTCACAACCCACTACCACCATTCAAACTCATGTCATCTGATTAATTCAAAAATAGGATTCAAAAAGTGGGTAGTTTCACTCCTAAACATTCTCAATTGACAATTATTTATTAGCTTAACACATGTTTATCCATAGTCTATTAAATACAAATGGTGAAACCCATTAAAGGCCATAAACCTATGTTTGTTTTTAAATGATTTTTTTTTTCAAAAAGAATTTTATTAATTACAAACTTGAATTAACTTTTAAGAAGCAACCTAATTTAACTTTTAAAAATAAATAACTCAAAATAGATTTATTAGATAAATAATAAATACCAAATAAAGTGGATTATTGTTTACCAATAATATCTCATTTAATATCTTAAATCAAATTAAAAAAACATAAATTACTAGTGGGTTTCAAATAAAATAGGCCAGAATAGATTGTTAATTACAAAGATGCAAGACCCATATTAGTTTTTTTTAATTTAATTTTTGATAACTAAATAGTAAACTTCAAACTAAATTATACACACATTTAATTACCCCGTACTATTCACTAGTTTTCTAGAAAATAGAGCCTTTGAGTAAACATGTGAGTTAAGAATGAAACCTGTCTTAGTACATCAAAATCTCATAATAATCCTTCAAAATAATGATTTTCCCGCTGAAACAAACCAGTTAAAACACCTTGGTGACTTGTAATATTCTCAAATCACACATTTTACGTGATCTGATCGATGAAAGAGGAAACGAGATATAAAGTTCCGATGATAAGGGGCTCGGAAGCTTTCAGAAGAGGCCTCCGAGAAAACTATAAACAGGGGAGATCCCAGAATGACAAACAATGAACTTCAGATTCCAGGCTTGTGCTTAGAAAATTCAGCCGATTCCATTTCTGTCCAGTCTCAGATCTCAGACCACAAACCTCGGATTCCATATCTATGGTCACTGACAATTCATCTCACTCAACTTACTTGCTACACCAACAGGTTCGCTTCAGTACTCTTCCGGTATTTAAATCCATAAAATTTAGAAATAGAATGTGCTTGAATTTGAATTCTATTGGCATTTTGCAATGTTATATAAATTAAGGGTGTGTTTGGTTTGAAAGAAAAGGTAAGGAAAGGAAAAGAAGCCCATATATCAGATGAATGTGAAATCCAAAAAGAAAAAAGAGAGTTACAAGCAAAACTCTCATCAAGCTCTGTAGCTCTCTATTATGTAACTGTCAAATATTCAGCAACTCCAACATTCTTCTTTCTGTCTTATTTTCCCATTTCTACTACTTTGCTACCAGTTACACACTTAACACTTGCACCCGTATATACTAAATGATGCTTACTGAGATGGTAAGCTGGACATTTTTGTTTTCCTCTTTTTCTATTTTCCTTTTTGTCTATTTTGAATTACGGACATGTGCTAGTTTGCGAAGCTCCTCAAATGCTTGCATTGTTTCTACATCAAATCCTCCTGCAAACTGCATAAGAGACGTGGAAAACTCAAATCAGATTTTTTTCCGAAATTTTAGTGCAGAATTATCAAAGTCTAAATTGTTGACTAATATTCAACTCTATTATTAGTGCAGAATTATCAATGAATGAGTTTACTAAAAATCTATTGTTAAATACTGAACTCTGATAAGTATTAGAGAGGTTACTGCACCACAGGCTGATGACAAAAAATTAGAGGGAAAAGGAGGAAGAACCAATGCAACATGCTATTATGAAAGTTGTGTTACCAAAGAGCAAAGAATAGCAAGTTATAATTCCATCCATTATAGAGAAGAAAATACAATTTAGAAAGATAAACCACCCTACTGCTTCAAATTTCAAATACCATGATAGAGAAAGAATGAAATCCAAAGCAAACTAACGATCAAACAAAGGGAATTGAAAGATGAGAAAGGCATGAAAAACTTATTAATGTCAAGAACAAAATGATAGATGCCATGAAGAGACAATAAATAAAAGGAGCACTACAACTACTAGAATATTCCAACCCAACTTCAGTTTGTCATTAAGGCTTAGTTTGGAAGGACTACAAATATACAAATATGTAGACTGAAAAAAAACCTTGTATTTTGTATTTCATATGGTATTGAAAATCATACTGGACTGTACGGTCGAACCAGTTGACCCAGGAACCGATCAAGTAATTAGTTCCGTTTCACCCTAAAACCGACCCTGAGCCATCATTTTTTATTTTAATTATTTTATTCTAATTTTTTTTTTATATTTTAAATCAAAACCAGTCATCCATTCAAACTGAACGGTCAGACCATTCGACCCAGGAACCAGTCCCCAAAACGGTTAGACCATTAGGGTTTAGGGTTTAATATGTATTTGTACTGTATATATTTGCATTTGTACTCTTTCCAAACTGAGACTAAGGCTTAGTTTGGAAGGCGTAAAAAAACAAATATGTAGAGTGCAAAAAGGCTTAGTTTGGAAAGAGTACAAATACAAATATGTACGGTGCAATACATACAAAACAATACAAAATACAAGGCTTTTGCACTGTACATGTTTGTATTTGCACTCCTTCCAAACTGAGCCTAGGGTGCACTATAACATCATCTCACATAGTACAAATATGTACGGTGCAATACATACAAAACAATACAAAATACAAGGTTTTTGCACTCTACATATTTGTATTTACACTCCTTCCAAGCTGAGCCTAGGGTGCACTATAACATCATCTCAAATAGTGAGTGTTTGTTTTCAGATTACCAGCTCTGCCATTGTGTTTTTGAGATTGTGGTTGTGGAACTTGCCACACCCATGGTGGAATGTTTTGTTCTAAACAATCCTCCTTTATGACATTCATTGAGGCCTTTTAGGGAAGTTATTTATCCGAGTAAATGTATTTACCCATATAAGTGCATTTATCCATGTTCTTTTATTTTCTAGGTAAATAAGACAATGACCATTTTAGGCATAAAAGCCATTATTAAAAGGGGTAATTTTGTCATTGACAATTTTCTCCCATGTTGTTACTTATTCACTAGGAGATGGATATCACTTACCCGAATAAGTGATACCTAGAGAAAATGAATTTTTTTAGGCCCCACATAAATCTGAAAAAAAAACTTAAGTATCTTGGGCAACAAGGACGAAAATCCCATACACCCCATCTTTCCTCCCTCTCAAAATCCAAAAAAAGAATGAACCCTAAAAATAAAGCAATAAACAATCTGAGAGTAGCCGCTTGGGAGGTCTAAGGGCTTTGGTTGAGCTACTTTTACTGAGGTTCTGTGGAGAAGCCAATTTTTTGGCTGAGGGCCAGCAAATTGTGCTTTCCAGGATTTGTTTTTCGTTTTTTGTCAAACATTTCTTGTTGGCTGTTGTTCTAGTGAGGTCCCATCTCGCTAAACCAAAAGCCGCCACCCCCAAACGGGCAATAATAACTACTAGGAGGAGAGTATTGTATTTGCCATTTCCATTACCTGATGTATTCTGAAAGCAAATCTCACTCCTTGGAGTAGCATATACTCTAATGAAGAATCCTTGTCTGACGCTCCCTTGGATTGAAGTTCTATCGCCACCCTTCTCATGTAATTCTTTGCTAACTTGACTGATCCAAGCTTTATCTGCAATTTCACCAATTAAGAGTTAAAAGGCACTACACATGTAAAGTCATCATAAGCTAACATTCAGGGCAGATAAGGGTAATGGATGGAGAATTTAAAGCTGCGAAATGTCCAACTTCATATTCTAGTGTGTATTTGCCTGTACAATGAAGAATTTAAAGCTGCATTTGGCATTCTTTATTTTAAGGACTTATCTCTTTTTTATAATTAAAAATTCATTATTCATGGCAAAAAAGAAGATAACTCCTTAAAATAAAGAATGCCAAATGCAGGTTGTACAAACTCGTTTTTTACTAGAGTTCCTCTATAGCCACAAGAGTTTGAGTCCCGGGAAACGAATGTAGAAAAGGATTCTTATGAGCTCTCAACTCTTGAATTCTTGGAGTTTAGGTGTTAACAACTTTCCATCAGTCAACTAAAACACTGATATATTCAACTAAAACACTCTTGAATAGAATATAGATCAGCTGAAGCCCTGAAGTATTACCAATCACTTCTGTACTGCTTCCATTGTTTCTGAGAAGGAAACTACATAGTTTCTAATATTTCTTTGATGGCAGATGCCGTCTCTCTATACCCATAGTCAAATTTAAGAAAACAAGGACAGAGTTTGGCCAATGGCAATGGCTGCCTTTATTCATAGATATTACATATAATCGGCTAGAGATTCGTTGGCCGAATATTCTCTGGCAGCTTTAACGGTAACATTCTCCCATGTCGATCCACGCATATGATGAATCAAGCAATCCAAGGTTCAAAATATCGATATGCCTGATATATCAGTAGAGGCATATGGGTAATTTTTTTAGTTTTTTTTTTTAATTTGATTTAGAGGGGCCAGTATAAGGTCCATACACCCTTTATAGGGACGTATCAAAAAGCTCTCAATACAATACATATGGATATTTTGAACCTTAAAAAAAAAACTAAAAATACTTATTTAAATTACCGTTGAACTTAACAATTACTTAAACTACCTTTAAGGTTTAAAACCCTAGAATGCACAAAAGTATGATATAATAATACAACACATACTACCCTTCTTAGTTGACGGTCACATTCTGCTTACATGTGACGTCATATAACACATTTAATTTTTCAAAAATCCAATTTTAACCTCAACACCGGCCATTCCCAATTTTTCTACATTTACCGATTAGAGTAGAGATGTGGCGAGAAACACTGGTGGCTCTGACCTATACATGGCATCTCCCAACCATCTCTTGCACAGATGCCCCTCTTTGTCTCCTCTAACATTCTCCCTTAAACCTCTTTAGCTCTCTATGTAATCTAGTATCTCTCTCTCGTACTCTCTTTGATTCCCATAGTCTCACCTGAGAAAGGCTTAAAATGCCTGAAAGCTGAAACAACTAAAGGCATTCATGAGTCCTAGAGATAAACTCAGACCAAACCAACAAAAGGAGGACAGGAATGAAAGGGAGAGAGATGCTGCAATTACACCTCTTTTTTTGGGAGTATTAGGGTTTGTTCATTTCTTCTTAACTTTTATCTCTTTTTATAGGATTTTTACAACTTTAAGAGGAAAATGAATATTCATTTCCTTTTCTCTTATCTATTAAAAGAGGAATCTTACAACTTTTTGCTTTTCAAAGATACATCAAAAACACAAACAAAAATTCTCATATATGAGATTAAAATGAAAATTTAACAATTTTCAAAATTCAGAATTCAGAATTTAGAATTATGCATACAAAGAAAAGAAATGTTCACCCATACCATTATACCTTTTAATATTATTATTGCACTTAGAACACAAAAACCAGGTATTGCATATTGCATGTGGTGAAACAAGACAAAAAGAACAAGGGCTACAAAGCACCCAGTGGTAGTCGGGCTTGCAGCAACAGTTTTTAGGTGTGCTCTCGAAGGTTTCTTCTCAAAAGGTGTGTTATTAAAGAAGGAATCAGATTTGCAAAAGTTTTTAGGTATAAGAAGCCACCACTTCTGATCTGTAAAGAACATGAAAGCAACCTTGGATGGGATACATGGAACCATGGATGCCCTCCAAAAGAGCTCCTAGTCATCCATACCGTGCACGAGAGAGGACTTTTCCTCATTCACTACAACAGTACTCTGGTTCTATGTTTTGTTGGTCGGAGGAGGTAAAATTGGCGATGACAATGACCAGAGGGCCACCGGTGGTTGTCATTTTGGAGGTGGGGGTGGTGGTGAATACAACAAAGGATTAGTGGACGACAGGTTGCCCTGTAAACTGAAATACAAATTTTTGATGCACATGCTAGCTATCGTTCTAATTGTAAAGCATGGTACGGTTGTACGAGTGTATTCAGAAACTTGGAGATCTGTTATGTTGTAATGTTTTAGATTGGGTGTTTCTTTTGGTTTAAGAAACCTAAGCCTTTCTAATAAATGGTATTTATCCAAAAAAAAGTAAAAAAAAAAGGTAGAGGTATATTTTGAAAATTTGAAGAACAATTAAGGGCAAAAGAGTCTTTATGTCTAATCTAACAGCTAACCATAACGGAAACTGCATTTCCAAAACTTCAAACTCTTCAAGTAGGGTTTTAAACCTTAGGGTACTTTTAAGTAATTGAACCCAAAAAACTATTACTTATTTGTTAAATTCACACATAACATTACAAAGTATATCATGAGAAAAATAGGTATTTTATGGCAAAAGAGAAAAATAGATATTAAATTGAGGGTATATGCCACTGTATGAATAGTTATAATAATTATGTATACAATTACAACAATAAAAACCAACTCCAACAAAATTATAATTGGGATATATAATGCAGGCCAAATCCCTATATTGCACTAAACAGAAAGGAATGACAAAAACTTATCAGATCTATAAAATTGAGGAAGGTTATGGTCAAGATTACAGATAAGAAGAAAATTACCTTGTTAATAATCCCCGAGTCGAGCATCCAATCCGTTGGAATATGATACTCCTTGCAGTGACGCATCAACACATCTCTTGTCCTGAGAATGCTGTACACAGTGCGCTCCATCCTAAAAGCAATACATAAAATTAAATTTTATTTTATTTATAAAAAGTTGCTACGCTCCATTTTGGTTGCAGTGTAATTTCATTTATACTTGGGTGTAAATGCATGAGAGTGCAAATGAGAAAAATACAATTTTTAATGTAATTTTGTTTTAGGTTTCACTTTACATTGTTTCAAGTTTTATTGTGATTCATATGCACTAAGGGGGTATTCTTTTTCTAGATTTTGAGAGGGGGGATTTTTCAGATTTATGTGGGGATCAGGGAAAGTTTATTTTCTTAGGTATTGGGTACCAGGTAAGTGATACCCATCTCCTTGGTGGGGGGGAAGTTGCCAACACTTGAATGGGACAAAAATGCCCCTTGTAATAATGGATTATTATGGTTAAAATGGTCATTGTCTTCTTTTCATGGGAAATAGAAGAACATGGATAAATACACTTACCCGGATAAGCGTTTCCCAGAAAAGACTTACCCGGGTAAATAACTTACCAAAAAACGAACAAGGCCTAAGACAAGGCAAAAGATAATAAAGAAGAAATAAACCAGAATTTGCACTCTCATACTTTTGTACCAGTGGAAATGAAATTACACTGCAAACAAACCAGCCCCTCAGGTCTAAGGTCTGCTGGTCAAACTCCTTACTTCTCTGACAAAGTGACCATCTTCTTCAATGCAATGTCACAGGGTAGCCGATGATCATCTTCATAATATGACACTTCAGACTCCAATTTCTTCAGATCTCTATACCCAAATGCTGCTTCTCGCAAAGTGTCAGCTTTCTTCTCTGGCCAGTCAAAGTGCTTTAGGACTGCCCTTTCATCCACCTGCAAGAATATGCAAGTATGATGAAGACCTCTAGAAAGGTAATCAAATTATCTTACTATGTTCAAACACCAATACCCAAAAATATCACTAATCATTTTGTTGAGCTGCTTTGGAGAAGCCATCAAATAAGCTTCATGGGAAAGTCATTTTTTTTGGTTGAGAGGCAGCTACTCAGTATACCGGGTTCTTCACTTTATATCCAGGTGGATCGCCCGCCCACCTTGCAAAGCCAAAGCCCACCCAAACGTGCATTTGGGCATTCTGCGTTTAGACTTTGAAAAAACACAAATCCTGAAGCTTATCAAGACACAACCTTTGGCTATGTTTGGTTTAAGGAAACGGAGAGTTGAGAGGAAGTTGTTAAACAAATTTTGTAAAAATCCTTTATAACTTTCCATCAATTTTCTGTCTCTCTCTTATGTTCTGTCAAACCCAATACAGCCTCAGTGAAAAAATTTCAGATGCTGTAATTCTTCCAAAATAAAATGTTCCAAGAAAAGCTTTCTAAACTATAGAATAGACTTACAAGAAAACAAAGTTCATCATCGAGCCACTTCACAAATGCCACAACATCTTCAATGTCCTGATAAACTGCATTATTGACCTCTCTAATCAATGAGTTCACAAATTCACCTTGAGTCTCAACATCTGCCTTTATCTACAAATAACCCATAACAATTAACAGGGTTAGAGCTGGTTCAGTTACCATAAAAAATTTTGAAGGAAAATGTACAAATTACAATAATTATTTTTTTCAGAACACTGAAGTCATGAATTATGTTAATATTTATGGAGCCAGTGTTTTGAAAATCGTAGTCGTATCGTAAATCGTAAGATTATTTTTATTTTTTACTAACTTGTTAAAAAATTAAACATAAATATATTAAAAGACTAAATATATATAGTAAATTGACTTTACTCAATTTTAAATCTATATCTACCATATATGTACTTAAAACAATACAATGCAGCACTTATACAATAAAAGCCTAAGATAATATAATCAAGTTGGACTTGAAAATCAAACAAATCTACATATAATGGCCCTTTAACATACATATAATGGAAAATAAACTCAATTTCTTTAAATAAATATTTTTCTAGTAAGTAGTTTAAAAAAGTCTCCTTTTGGCAAAATTAAATATAAACAAAAAAATAATAATAAAGTAGATAACTAATTCTTAATTGAGTTTGTTTGAATCATAGTGAATCGTACAAATCGTAAGATATATGAATCAAATCGTAGGATTCAAACAAAAATTGAAAGTTTTTTGCAAAAAAAAGATTCAAACATAAAATTTGAATCGAAACCCTTAGGACTCATGATTCAAATCATGAATTGTATTGTAAATCGTAAGATTTTGACAACATTGTGGAGAATAAAGCAGGAGTTGGGACTTGGGATCATACTGTGCCCTCTAATCCCAACTTACCAACCCAAAAACAATTAAAATGCAAGGTGAAAAGGTGACTTACAGCAAGTAAATGGGATGACCGATTCTCAATCTCACCAATCATGCTACTGCGAACATTTGCAACATCTGGAGCATCACAAATTCCTCCACTGGAAGATTCCCTTCTCGACTCCCTTTTCATAAGTGAATGATAAAACTCAACTACTTGCGGAGCCCTCTGAACCAGACTTGTGCTACTTCCTATTGAAAACTTTGGTGGAGGTGGCGGTGGTGGAGGTGGTGGTGGTGGTGGTGGAGCTGGAGCTAAACCGTTTTGCTTTACAGCGGTAGAAAAGGAACCAGAAGGCTTTGGAGGCGGGTTAGGAATGCGTAGGGCCCGTTTCTCAATATCAAAAGAAGCTGTAATTTTGTTAGTTTCAGGTCTGTTAGCAAGGAACTGTGGACTCTGAACAACACCCAAATCATATTTTAGAGCAACCATTCGAACTCCTTCCCTCTCTGCTTCTTGTGAGCCTGCAAACCCATCAGACTGCCTTCTCTTGTTAGTTTCCATGTCCTCATGACAGAATTTTGATCCACTTATTGAGTGTCTTCTTCTGGGGCTTCCCCCTTCTTGGGCTTCCACCCAATTTTTGTATAGGGCATGATCTGCGCATTCTAAGTTTGGTATACCTTCCTCGATTCTAGAACAACTTTTCAACTTCTTTATCAAATTCAGTTTCGATGCACTACTTAACTCTAATGACTCTTTCGATAGAGCAGAAATGGAGCTCATACATTCACTGCCCTTACCGATTGACCTGGGACTCAGTGACTTATCCGAAGCTGCAGTGGATCCTGAGTTGCGCAATTCATTTCGTAGACACGAATTGACCCATCTAAGGTATGCAAGTTCTTCAACCTCAGTCAACCGACTCATCTGCAGACCTTCAACTTGTTTGCACAAGTTCTCATTTGTGTGTCTAAGAAGGGATGCTTCGGCTTCAACCTTCGCTACAATCTCACTCTGCTTATAATCAAGACCGCGAAAAATTAAGACCATGTTTCAAATCTAACTAGAATCGAAAAATAAGAATTCATTGACTGCAAAACAGGAAAAAAACAGCCATTGTGATTCTATAGAAGCAAGTGAATACCTCTGAAACCTTTGCAAGAGCAGCCAGTTGCGACTCGGCAGAAGAAAGCCGGCATGCAAGATTCCTCTTCTCAAACTGGAGCTCCTTGTTTAGGCGTCGCAACTCAACAACTTCCATCTCGAGATTCCTCTGTGACGCAGTTGCGTTTTCATGATCTTCTCTTCTGATTGCTTCCTCCTGGCTTTGTAAGATAGAAGGTAAAGAGGAAAGTTGGTGATAGAGCCTTGTTCTCTCAGCTTCTAATGAACCTACTTTCTGGATGAGATTTTCAACTTCAGTCCTCTTTAATTCCAGTTCCATTTCGAGATCCGTCCATTTTGGGTTTTTCTTATATTCCAACAGCTCAGCCTGCAATTTCAATTCTCCTTCCTTGGATTCTCGGACTAAAGTCCTCAGGTGATCCAACTCAATAAACAAATCACGAGACCCATTGGACTTCGTCCTCTGGAAATCAAAAGTGTGGGGGTGAACTTGAGCAGGGTTGGCTGAACATGGAAAATCTCCGATAAGAGACCGCTTGACACGGGAGTGGTGAGGCAGCAATGCGTTCTTCTGAGTACGGATTTCGGAGCTGGTCAGAGGAAGTTTCTTGCTTAGGACTGTTGTCTGCTGTTTGCTTTTCTTATCTGCAGAGAAGCCTTTTACAATGTTTGAACCCCAAGCAGATGCAGATTTTAGCTTGGACGAGTTACTACTGACTTTCGCATTAGCCCTCACTATCTGGTTTTGATCTGCAAACTTACCAGGCTTTGGTCGGCTCTCCCAAGAATAATCTTCTCTCATTTTGGACAAAATTTCACAACTTCGAATGAAAGTCACAATCGTGGAAAGTTCAATTGAACCATAAACTGGCCGCTGCAAAAGGAAATACTGTAAATATGAGAAAACCTAGTTGAGATCGTAACCCCGCTTTCAAGCTCTGAGTATCATAAAATTTCCAATAACAGAACTCAGGTTTTCTGAAGTGGGACTCAAGGACTTAATAGAGTGATTAAAAACCCACTAAAGATGGACAATCCTTCACTAGTGAAAAAAAAATCAAATATCCAAGCTTTCTACCACTACAAACCCAGTAATCATAAACTTTCTGGTCGCAAAAAAAAAATCCTTACAAATACTGTTTAAAATCTCAGTAGCTTCAGCTCTGACTTCTATAAAGAGAGCGGAATGAAAGACAAAAGATTCCTCCTCTCGTACCCAGAGGTCTCAAATCTCATTCAAATCTTCATTACCTTAAAAACGAAACTAGTGTCGGCTCCGAGTGGATTCGACGATCACGCTATGAAAGCTCCAAGTTCGAGAGCTTCTGGTGGAGTGAGCCATGGAGATTGCAGGAAAATGACAGCTTTCTTTATGGCAATTTGAACTTTTGAAATTTGAATGCGAAATATCATTTGTAATACAGTGCGAGACGGGGGAATGCAACGGTCGTATACGAGATGGAATGGCTCCCCACACAGTGCGCCCCACCCGTGACCTGCAGGCTGCAGACCATCCCAGGTGAATTGGGAACATCTCCTGATCTCCCCGTAACAAGCACTGGAGATGCTCCCAATGCACGGGGTAGATAGGCTGTGGCCAATTGGCCGCCTGTGGCCTTGGGGGTGCGCAGAGTGGGGAACCAATCCGAATGTCGTGGGTCCACCAATGGGTTGGAGGAAGAAGGAAATAGAAGTCGTCAAATTCTATAGGGATGGCAGTTTTTTCCCATCCCCGACGGGACCCGACTTCTCCGACCCAATGTACTCGGGGATGGAGATTGTTTTGGTGGGGAGGGGACGGGAAAGGGGATGGGGATTAAAGTCGACACCTCTCCCTGACCCCGATTATATATATTAAAACACATTTAAAGTGTTATTTATATTAAATATTGTTCGGGTCATGGCTGAGCTGGCCCTGTGAGACACATGACCGCCCAACTATAGCCCTGCCATGTCATCCTAATTTAGCCATGTCGGCCCAGATCGGCCAAGCTACACTACCATGGTGGCCCCCCATCTTATCCTTCCAGCCACGTCAACCACACATCGTATGGAAGAGCACAACTACAGATAAGGAAGAAGAAGGAAGGCGACTCCGCCGGGGAATGGAACTCTATCCCGAATACCTCGACGACTAACCTCATCCCGACTTCCCTGGTAGCCCAGTCCGATCAGGACACAAATCTTTGGCTATAAAAAGATGCTCCATGCTCGAGGTAAGGGATCCCCAACTTCTGAGACCGACACTGCTATTTAGCTTGGACCAGCATCCTTGTAGCTCGGCCCGACCACCTGCCACCTCTTACTGACTTGAGCGTCGGAGTGCTTACCCGGGGATAACTCCTTGGGCCTTTGACTTCTGTTTCCTTGGTCACAGGTCTTGAAGCGTGGCCTCGTCCTTGTAGCTCAGCCCCGCCCTGCCAGCAAGGACTATCTGGTTGCTCTCCTCAATTCGTGCACCACCTTGGATTGAGCAGCATCAGATTGGCGCCGTCTGTGGGAACGCACAAAAAGCTCTTCCCGAAATTCTTTCCTTACCACGCAATCAAAAAAGCGATCAAGATGCCCAAGAACCAGCCCGAGTGTTCAACAGGTCGATCCCCATCTCGGGAGTCTCGCCACCGTAGTCCTCCGCATCAAAAAACTCCACAGCCTCTGGCCGCGTTTGATCCTGAGCAATTCCGAGCAATACAAGAAAAGGTCGACAAGATCTTCAAAATGATGCAGAACCTAGGACCTGCGGCACCGCCTAGCTAGATCGTCCCCCCTTATGCACCGACGTGCATGAAGGATGATCCTCGTCTCGAGGACCCCAAAGCACGCCGAGCAGACAAGGGAATAGCGCGGTCCAACCAAGAAAAGCAAGATACAACAAGAAGGTCGCCCCCCTCCGTCCGCTCTCATAGAAGGACGCACCAAACCACGCAGATCCCTGACAAGGAAAGGCTCAGCAGACGAACGCCACCTCACATGGTCTCTGTCGCCGAATCCAGCTCTGTGAAAGACCGCACAGCGCGCCCCAAGAAGGAAAGGGCAACACACACCGCGACTCTGAAGCAAAGGGATGGCGAGATTCAAGAACTCTGCCAGTGCTTAGAAGAGCTAGAGCGCAGCCAGAGAAGCACGACGCCAGTTGTAGATCAGTCAACGCCACCGACCGTGCCCACGAAAAAGGAACCACCCTTCACCCAAGAAATTGTGGACGAGGTACCTCCCACAGGATGGCAGGCACCTCAGCTTGAAAAGTATGATGGAAACACTAATCCTGCCGACCATATGGAAGCGTTGAAGGCTCAGTTAATGTTGCACGGATCCTCTAAGGGCTTGATGTGCAAAACCTTAGTGGCCACCCTTGCAGGTCCAGCCCTAACCTGGTATTCCTCCTTGCCTCTGCGCTCAATAGCGTCGTGGGAGCAGCTGGAGACCCAGTTCCGTGCTTAGTTCATAGTGAGTCAAAAGCATTACAAGACCTCGACCAGCCTCATGCAGGTGCGAAAGAGGAAAAACGAGTCCCTTAGAGACTACCTGGCCATATTCAACAAGGAAGTGTTACGGGTCAGGAACCTGAACCAATCCGTGGATGTCACCGCTATCCAACACGGCCTCCGCCCATCCCCATTCAACTTCTCCATCTCCAAGAACCCAACGCAAACCCTGGCAGTGTTGATTAGCCATGTGCAGAAGTATATCAACGCAGAAGATGTGCAAACACAACTATGTGATGAGGAAGCGAGGCCCAACAAGAGGAGGAGAGATATTGAGGAGTGAAAGTCAAAAAGATCAGATCGGGACCATAAGAGGCAAGACTGCCGACCCGACCATAGACCACGGACACCCCTGCTGACCTATCAGAACTTCACACCGCTCAATATGCTGCGGTCTGAAGTCCTGATGTAAATCTGTGACCGTAACTACGTTCATTGGCCCAAAAAGATGAAAATGCAAAGCAACAAGAGGAATCGCGACAAATATTGTGAGTTCCATAGGGATCATGGCCATGACACGGAGAACTGCTTCGACCTACGCAACCACATTGAAGACCTAATCAGGCATGGATACCTCGGTGGGTTCATCAAGAGTGAGAAGCTGGCACAGGAAGAACAGCGCATGGAGGATGCTCGACTGGTGTGAACCACGTCATATCAAGTGGAATCGCCGCAAGAGGGGAGAGTAGCTCGGGGCGCAAGAAGTATACGCGACTGTGAGAAATCAACAACCGGGGGCACAAGAAGAAGCGTGGCCAGACCATCACATTCACCGACGATGACCTCTGGGGGTTCAAACCCGGCATGATGCGCTTTGGTAATCACAACCGAGGTGGCCAACCTCAAGATAAGACGGATCCTGGTTGACACGGGTAGCTCCTCCGATGTACTATTCGAGGATGCATTTGAAAAGCTTGGCATCGACAAAGAGCACCTCACCCCCATCAACACTCCCCTAATGGGCTTCTCTAGGGAGTCCCTCCAGCCCATTGGGAGAATAACTCTTCGCCTACTGATTGGAGACGGTGACGTTACTGCGACGACCATGGTGGATTTCGCTGTGGTTCGTTGCCCCTCTTCATACAACGCCATCCTTGCTAAGCCGACCCTTAATTCTCTGCAAGCTGCAGTTTCCACATTCCATCTCGCTATGAAGTTCCACACCGAATATGGCATAGGGGTAGCACATGGAGATCAAAGAACTACGTAGCAGTTCTACTTACTCTCCTGCCGAGGACCACGACCGTCCGCAAAAACACTGATGACAAAAGCTTATGACTTAAGAGATGAGGTGAGGACACAACATGGCCAACCAGTTGAAGACCTCATCCAGGTGCCGCTTAAGCAAGGAAGACCCCGAGAGGACAGTCCAAGTCGGTTCTCGATTGAATGATTGCCTTCGGGAAGAGCTTGTACAACTACTGAGAGACCACGCCGACGTATTTGCCTAGTTGGCGGTAGATATGCCGAGGATCGACCCCAAAGTCATTACACACCATTTGAACGCTAACCCCCACTACCGACCTATCAAGCAAAGGAAGAGAAGCATCGCAACAGAACGGTGGCAAGTGATTGCAGATGAAGTACATAAGCTACTCGACGTCGGCTTCATTTAGGAGGTCAAGTACCCCGACTGGCTGACCAACATGGTAATGGTGAAAAAAGCCAATGGGAAGTGGAGGATATGTATTGACTTCACTGACCTAAACAAGGCCTGCCCCAAAGACAACTTTCCTCTACCAAGGATCAACCAACTTGTTGACGCAACGGCAGGCCATGAACTCCTGAGCTTTATGGATGCCTTCTCAGAGTACAATCAGATCTGAATGCATCCCGATGACCAGGAGAAAACAACCTTCATCACCGACCACGACTTATATTGCTACAAGGTCATGCCCTTTGGCCCTAAGAACACCGGCGCCACTTACCAACGACAGGTGAATGAAGTGTTCAAAGATCAGCTTGGCCAAAACATAGAGGCATACGTCGACGACATGCTAGTGAAGAGCAAGAAGGTCGAGCAGCACCTTGCTGACCTAATGGAAGTCTTCAACACCCTCTGGAAGTATAAGATGAAGCTGAACCCGACCAAATGTGCTTTCGGGGTCGGCTCGGGTAAATTCCTTGGGTTCATGGTGACACAAAGGGGGATTTAGGCAAATCCAAAGCAGATACAGGCCATCCTCGACATAAAATCGCCTCGAACACATAAAGATGTGCAATGACTCACCAGTAGAATAGCTGACCTTAGTAGGTTCATGTCCAAATCCGTAGACCGGTGTCTGTCCTTCTTCAAAGCCCTCAAATGACCGAAGGACTTCCAATGGACCAAGGAATGCGAATGGTCCTTTCAAGAACTGAAGCGGCCTAAGTTCGCCGCCTCTCCTCACCAAGCCGAGCCCAGGGGACGAGCTATTACTCTACTTCTGGGCCGGAGATGAGGTCGTCAACTCGGTACTAGTCAAGGAGGAAGACCGAGTACAAAGGCCGATCTACTACACTAGCAAAAGTCCTTGGTGGCACTAAAACCCGATACTCCAACTTAGAGAAAATGGCTGTGGCTCTGGTCACCTCGGCTAGAAAGCTTAGACCATACTTTCAGGCCCACAGTATTCAAGTGCTCACCGGCCAGCCGCTTAAGCAAGTCCTCTAAAGGCCGGAAGCATCTAACCGCTTGATCAAGTGGAGTGTGGAGTTAAGTGAGTTCGACATCGAACATGCACCCTAACCTGCGATCAAAGCTCAGTCCCTAGCCGAC